TGAGAAGCCGCTGGGGGGGGGGCAGGTGAGCTTGGGGGGGCTTTGGGGGCCCCAAGAGGAGGAGCAAAAGGGCACAGGGACGGTTCTCACTCACCTCCCGCCTTGCGGATGTGAAGCACATAGCCGATAATGGCCTCGGTCACGTCCCGGGACGGCTCCAGCCAGGAGACACGGATGGAGGTGGTGGAGAGGGCCGTGGCTTCCACGCCTTCCGGGGAGCTGGGCAGATCCTTGGACAGGGCCACGGCCAGCCGGGCACTGGCCTGGTTGGTGCCCGCACTGTTCTCCGCGATGCACTGGTAGATGGCCTCGTCAGCGGACGTGATGGCCTGGATCATCAGGGTGCTGCGGGAAGATGGGGAGAGCCCCAATGGGAGAGGGTGAAGGCAAGGGGGACCAGGTGGCCACGGATTGATTCAACCTCCGTGGAGCGAGCAAAGCTAGTGGCGGTGAGTTCCACGGACCCAACCACACCCTTGGGGCAGAACCCCGTCTGCAACCCCTTTCTGAGGCTGAATTTTAAGCTTTCCCCCCTTCATTCTTGCCCTCCCGTCTTTCCTTGTTCACTCGGTTGCCCAGAGGAGAGTCAGTGGAAACGTGAACACTCTGCACGTGACTCGGTAAACCTTTGGCTCAACGTTCAGTAGGCATGGTTTCCACCCAGGCGGAGCGAGCCTTGACCTGTTGTTGTGGGTGAGCTTGATGTTTTCGCCAGGGGCCAAGACTTTCCCGTTCTTCAGCCAGATCAGGTGGGGTTCGGGCACACCCTGGGCCACGCAGGTGAAGATGGCGCTGGTGCCAGGCGTTTTGGAGAGGGATTGAGGCCACTGCACAAACTCTGGTGGTGCTGAGGAAGACAAAGTCACGGAGCGTAAGCAAAAAGGCCTTGTGCAAAAACACCAGAAAGGCCCATCGGGGCCCTGCCCATTCTCAGCATTCAAGTTTCTAGTCCTTTGCACAGAGCGACTCCAAACCAGCCTCGGGGATCTTCCACCGCCCTGCCTCTAGGCGGGGGCAGTCATTCATGGCTATCCCAGGAGGGGTGGGTAGTGAGCTGAATGCCTAAATTGGTGCTCCAGGATAGACTGCTCCTGCAGATGGAGGTTCCCTCTTGGTCAAATTGGTGGGGGGGGAACGCCCAGCACGGATCCTGTTGGCAATTCAGTGTGGTGGGGATGGGCAAGGAGGGCATTGAGTGGGAGCAGTTAAAAGCCCAGAAGAGCTGCTGAGGATTAAGCTGGTCCGGTCTGGCCTTGCTCCTCTTTCTGGTGAGGTATGCCAGAAATAATTGGGATCCGTTGCAGCTGTTTCGATTTCATTTAAAAATAAGGAAAAACCTGCTGAGCTGAAGGAGAACGGAAGAATTTCCTAACTCACAGGTCGGCAAAACAGCAGCGCAGCCAGGCCGGAATGGCTTTTCCTGCACGTTGTCAAAGGTTGGGCTAGATGACCCTGGGGGTCCCTTCTAACTCCAACCTCCTATGCTTCTAAGGCCCAGGCTAAGGAAAGAGGGGATTCCTTGTCGGCAGGTAGAAAAACTTTGGGGAGATGATCAAAGCAGTTTGCGAGAAGGGAAATGGATGCCGGTAAATGCAAAACGCAGGATGGGGGATCTGCATCGTTGGCTGATTTCCCGGGAGGGGTTTTCTCGGCGTTTAAGGCTCGCCAACCCTGTCCAGCTCCCCTCTCCCCCGTCTCCGAGGCTGGGCCCCAGAGGGGCAAAGACCCTTGCATCAGCCAGTCCCTGCCCCTCTGCCGTAGGATCCAGGGGCTGGGTCTCCCCATCCTCCTTCACCCCCCTGCCGCCTCAACCCCAAGGAAGGCAGAGAATCTGTTGCCCAGCCAGACTCTGTGGCAATGCTGCCCCCCAGCAAGATGCAAGCCCCCCCTCCGTCGGTTGCAAAACCTGCCCCGCGTCTTCTGGATTGGCACGGGACCCGATGCCAACTACGTTTCCGAAAGGTGGTGGGATCTGCAAGCGCCTTTTTCTCTCCCCAGAGGGGGAAGACCCCTTCCGAAGGGCTGATGGCACTGCTTGGGGTGGGGTGGGGTTCTCCTCTGC